CATCACCGCCTCGCCCCCGCCACTCGACGCACTCGCCGGAGCTGCCCCGCCGGAGCTGCCTCCTCTTCCATGCCGGCCTGCTTCCTCATTGGATGCCGTCCCCGTCCTCCCCCTAAACAACCGCTGCCCTTGTCCCTGCACACCACCGTGAGCTCCCTTCTTTCCCCTCTGTCGTCGGCGCCTTCCATAGCGGACACACGCACCGCCCCGCACGCGACCGAGCCTCACCTAGCTGCACCTCGCCCCGGAGGCGCCCAGCCGCGCCGGACCGTCCCGCCCCCGCCTCTCCTTCCCCGACCGGCTCCACCACCGGACTCCGTCGAGCTTCACCGCGCCCGGGCCCGCGCTCGCCGTGGCCACCAGCCTCCCCTGCCTTGGCGACCTGCCAAGTCCGCCGCGCCCGCCATCACCTCCCGCGCGTGGCCACGCTGGAGCCCCTAGCCTCGGCTCCGACCGCGCTCCCACTCGCACTGGCCTCGCCCGCAGCCCCCTTCCGTGTTGCCTCCCTCCATCGCAGCCTCCCCTGCCACCATCGTCGCCGGCCTGCGTCCACCCGGGCTGCCTCAGGCCACCGGCCTCCCCCTATTCCGGCGCCATGTCGTGGCCGCCGGCGCCGAGTCGGGTGCTCCCCTGTCGGTCACACCCGCAGCGCCCATTCGGGCTGCGCCCGATGCCTGTACCCAGCACCCGCTAGGCCCCCCGGGGCACTGACTAGGGGGCGCCGCCCCAGGGCGGTTTTTAGAAAAAAAGAATTAAAAAAATTAAAATAAATAAATGAATAAATAATAATAATAATAGTATATAATAGATAAATAATTAATATTAAAATTAATTAATTAATTAATTAATTAACTTAATTAATCTTGTTTAGTTGAACTAATTAAACTTGATTAACCTAATCACTTAGGTTATTTAATTAATCTGTTAGGTTAATTAGCACCCAATAACAGCTGGGACCCACATGTCAGGTTGACCAAGTCAACTCTGTTGACTGCTGATGTCAGCATGACATCATGCTAATGTCATTAATCTGTTTTTCGAATTAATTAAATAATTAACTAAATTCTAGAAATTAATAAAATCTTTAGAAAATCATATCTTTTAATCCGTAACTCGGATTAAAATATTTTCAACATGAAAGTTGCTCAGAACGACGAGACGATTCCGGATATGCAACCTGTTCGTCCGCCACACACCCCTAACCTATCGAACTCACAACTTTCCCCCTCTGGCTCCTCTTCCCGAAAACACGGAACACCGGGAATACTTTCCCGGATGTCTTCCCCCTTCGTCGGTATCACATCCTACCGCGTTAGGGCACACCTAGCATCGATACTTGTCATGTCATGCATCGATATGCATCTGTTTACATGGTATTCATTGTTTCTTCCCCCTCTTCTCTTCGGTAGACTACGAGACCGACGCCGCTGCTGCTGCCCCGTACGACTACGGAGTTGACGACCACTCTCTCTTGCCAGAGCAACCAGGCAAGCCCCCCCCCCTTGATCACCAGATATCGCCTATTCTCCTCTATACTACTTGCATTAGAGTAGTGTAGCATGTTACTACTTTCCGTTAATCCTATTCTGATGCATAGCCTGTCATTGTTGCTACAGTCAATGATACCTTACCCGCAATCCTAAATGCTTAGTATAGGATGCTAGTTTATCACCATTGGCCCTACATTCTTGTCAGTCTGCCTTGCTATACTATTGGGCCGTGATCACTCGGGAGGTGATCACGGGTATATACTATTCATACATACATACTATACAGATGGTTACTAAAGTCGGGTCAGCTCAAAGAGAACCCACGAGTGATTCACGGATTGGGGGCTGAAAGGACCTTTGTCCCGACGGCCCTCTGTGTGGATCTTTGTGGTGGAGCGACAGGGCAGATTGGGACCGCCTAGAAGAGAGGTGGGCCTGGCCCTGTTCGGCGTTCGCGGATATTTAACACGCTTAACGAGATCTTGGTATTTGATCTGAGTTGGCTACGAGCCTATATGCACTAACCATCTACGTGGGAGTAGTTATGGGTATCCCGGCGTCGTGGTATCAGCCGAAGCACTTCAGACGTCAGCGACGGAGCGGCGCGCACCGGATTGGACTGGAACGCCTGCTAGGCTAGGTCTGCTTCCGGCCGCCCTCGCAACGTGCAGGTGTGCTATGGACGATGGGCCCAGACCCCTGTGCGCTTAGGTTTAGACCGGCGTGCTGGCCTTTCTGTTTTGCCTAGGTGGGGCTGCGACGTGTTGATCTTCCGAGGCCGGGCATGACCCAGGAAAGTGTGTCCGGCCAAATGGGATCGAGCGTGTTGGGTTATGTGGTGCACCCCTGCAGGGAAGTTAATCTATTCGAATAGCCGTGATCTTCGGTAACAGGACGACTTGGAGTTGTACCTTGACCTTATGACAACTAGAATCGGATACTTAATAAAACACACCCTTCCAAGTTCCATAGACAACCCGGTGATCGCTTTTCCACAGGGCGACGAGGGGAGGATCGCCGGGTAGGATTATGCTATGCGATGCTACCGGAGATGCTACTTGCAGATGCTACTTGGAGGACTTCAATCTACTCTCTTCTACATGTTGCAAGACGGAGGCTGCCAGAAGCGTAGTCTTCGATAGGACTAGCTATCCCCCTCTTATTCTGGCATTCTGCAGTTCAGTCCACCGATATGGCCTCCTTACACATATACCCATGCATATGTAGTGTAGTTCCTTGCTTGCGAGTACTTTGGATGAGTACTCACGGTTGCTTTCTCCCCCCTTTTTCCCTCTTTCCTTTCTTTCTGGTTGTCGCAACCAGATGCTGGAGTCCAGGAGCCAGACGCCACCCTCGACGACGACTCCTACTACACTGGAGGTGCCTACTACTACGTGCAGGCTGCTGTCGACGACTATGAGTAGTTTAGGAGGATCCCAGGCAGGAGGCCTGCGCCTCTTTCGATCTGTATCCCAGTTTGTGCTAGCCTTCTTAAGGCAAACTTGTTTAACTTATGTCTGTACTCAGATATTGTTGCTTCCGCTGACTCGTCTATGATCGAGCACTTGTATTCGAGCCCTCGAGGCCCCTGGCTTGTATTATGATGCTTGTATGACTTATTTATGTTTTAGAGTTGTGTTGTGATATCTTCCCGTGAGTCCCTGATCTTGATCGTACACGTTTGCGTGCATGATTAGTGTACGATTGAATCGGGGGCATCACAGGTTTGATCTTGTTCGTGTCTTTCTTTAGGGTTTGATGAAGTTGATTTCGGAAGAGGCTCCAGATTCGATGAAGAAGTGGGATTTAACGCATTACTTTGGAGAAACTATCGCAATTGACACAAGCATCTGCATCTATCAGTTTCTGGTACAACTTTTCCATGACAAGCTTCTTTGCCCTCTTGCATTTCGATATGGTCACATCTGCTAGCATATCTTCTAGTACAGCTTCCTGCATTTTCTCCACCCTCCATGTTGGATTGTCTCTAATCTGCCTGAAGTATTTCCTAGCAATCACAGTACTAGTCACCAGCTTATCGTTTCTCCTAGGCACACAAGTGTGGACATTATTGTACCTGTGAACTATCAACCAGTCAGATTTGCTATTTATTGACCCATAGATGTTCCATTTGCAACCAACCCAGCTACACTTGGCACTTACTCTCTTCTTTTCATCCTTAAGAAATATCAAATGATGAAAATTCTTCAGTCCATATTTAACTAGTGCATTTTTGAATTCTCTGCTGTCAGTAAAAGCCATGCCAAGTTCAAACTGGGGTGCTTCTGAAGTATCATCATACACCTTATGGTTGGTCTTTCTCCTTCTGACTGCATTAACCTCTCCATCACTAGCCTCAACATAAGAGAGATCGTCATCACTTTCAAAATATGGAGTGTCATCTGCATCATCATCTAGCTTACATGTTTCTGGTACAATGAACTCCTCAGGAACATTGCAAGCTTTTGCTTCTTCCTCCCCTAGCATTTTCTTTCTCTTTTTCTCCTTGAATTCTTTAGCATATTTTCGGTACTCAATGATTTCTTCATCTTCAGCAGAACTATTGCTCTCAGCAGGAGGCACAACATAGTCACTGTCACTATCACTGTCAGAGTCACCTGAAATATGCAGCTCCTCGGTTGCAACCCCTTTTCCTCTATCAGACACTAAACTTGCAGCTCTGAACACGGGCAATTTGGTCCTGCATTGATCAGTCGCTGCATTTCTTTCCTCTGCCTGCACCTCCTCTACATGCCCTGCATGCCCATGCCCTTGCTCTCTCTGCATATCATCTGTATGCTCTGCTTGAAACTCATTTGCACATTCAAACTCCCAATCACTTGCTGAAAATCTGACCGAAAGATAGTCTAGTGGATCCATTTCCTAAACAAAAAATCAGACAATAAACAACTGAATTAACTGAACTTCTGAACTTTTCTCAAAAAACTGTCTTTTTTTCAGATGAACAAAACCATACATCATCTATTCATATACTAAGCATATGCACATCGATTTCATCTACAGAAGGCACCCTAAAACACCATCTAATATGCTTCCACCACTCTGTGAAAAAACATGAACAAAACCCTAGCCCCCAAATCAAATCCCCTGAAACCCCTAACTGACAGCCCTAATGTGGATAGAAAGGCAAGATTTGCAGAGGAATATTAGGGAGCACTGACCTGATCATAGCCGCCGGTCGAGTTGTTCAGTACATGCCGACGATCGTCGCCTGCACCGCCGTGGTCGCCCAAATCACCGCCGCCGTGTCGTTAGAGAGAAGAGAGGGGAGCGGGAGATGAAAAGGTGAAGCGGAGCGGTCGAGGCAGGGCGAGGGGGTGTACTAGACCGTCACCACCCAACTATTGCCGACGTGGCAACCCATTCGATTAAAATGCTCAACCACCCCTGCCCCTTGGGCAAAACTGGCCTCACAAACCCACCAAAACGGCCTCAGGGGGTGATTTGTCTGGTATATGTTAGTCTAGGGGATTAAGAATCCGGTTTTGCAGTTGGGGGGGGGGGTGATCTGCTCGAAATCTGACAGTTCAGGGGGGTATGTGGACTTCTTTCGTTTTCTGTGTTTGGCACCTGTGTCTCATCTATGTACAAAACTGCACATGGAAAGTTAAAGACCAGAAGGCATAGAAAAGCCCGTGAATTTTACTCTTTGCATTTTCTTAAACAAAAATAAAATGAAGATGAACATATAGTATGTATCTTGAGATACTACAAAGCAGTTACTAATTGTCGCATCTTATGCTCACAGGCTGCAAATGGAGATCTCAAAAATCATAACGATCAACAAACCGGGTACATAAAATATATTTTAAGCATTTTAATATCTTAAGTTCTACTAACAGCATTTACTTTTTTATTTTGATTTTGTTACGCAGCCATATTCTAGGCTTACTTCAGCGAACTGCTAAATATTTAGAGGCCGGAATCAAGCCAGTGTAAGAACTCTCCTCCATCGATATGAATTAGTACAATGGATCACTGTTTTGTTTGATCACATTTTATTTGATCACATTTTGTTTTCAGATACGTTCTTGAAGGAAAACCTCCTGAAATGAAGAAGGGAACACTTGATGAAAGGTATGTTGTCTTTCACTTTTGGATTGTTTAACGATATTTTGGACTTGGGTATATTTATTTTTTGCTTAAATTAGTGCCCCTCTCTTTTCAGAAAATTAAAGAGACAGACTGCAGAACATGAATTCAGAGGCATTGCTGGGCTTCAGGCAGCTGAAGATATCAGGAGGACTAGTTCTGTCTCTAGCGTTTCTCGACTAACAAAGAAACCAAGGTATGATCTTATGCTTTAAAGGTGCTATCAGCCGCAAAGAGCAAATGAGATATTGTTGGGCCTGTTCTCCCATTCTTGAGACCCTATGTTCTTTCTTTTTCATTAGACTGGATAGTCCTTCAGCCACATAACAAGAATAGGTAAGGGCTAATAGGTTGTCGCAACCCCCTCGTTGGATAAAAGCTTCTGAAAGTTCTCCATTAATTCGTACCGCGTACCTCACATTGGTCACACATCTCATAACAGTAGATACCCATTCATCAGAAAAACCCAATTTACACATGACTCCCTTAAGGTATCTCCATTCGACCCTGTCATGTGCCTTCATCATATCTATTTTCAGAGAAAAAGGGAGTGTTAGCCTCACATTGGGCACGCAGTTCGAAAGTCCTCAAACTGACAGGACAATCTCGCCTCCCTCCTTTTTCTCCCGATCTGCTCGCACCAAGAAGAAAAAAGCTCCCTGTCTCCACCGCAAGCGCAAGCCAAGGGCGGGCAGTGAAGCTAAAGTTCACCCCTTTGTCGCCCCGAACCGCGCAGTAGAAAAACAAGGGCACCAGGGGACCAAAGTCGGGATCTGGATGCAAGTGGAAGGCAACAGAAGTGCGCTGCGAGAAGATCACAGACGCACAGATGATCTCCCTACCCTGAATCACGATCTAGAGGGGATTGGATTTGGGGAAGGAAGAAAAATCGCCTCTCTCTACTGTTCAGCCAAACTGTCGAGAAAGGCTCCCCTGTGTGGCCGGCATAGCAGGGATATTTAGGGAAATAGAAATATAGCTAACACATAGAGAGCTACTAGACTTAAACTATCACTAGGCACACACGACATCCGACTCAGACTCCTATTTCGTGTTTGACACAGGGCCGACCGAGTGTGTCGCGTCCGGCACTTCTTCTTCATTCTCTCATATTGCTGGCCCATAGAAGAGTCTTAACAATTTGGACTTGCGAGCTTTATAATTATTATTTACCACGTCATGCAGGGTTGACGTTGCTTCACAAGCCTATTGCGTACAATCTTTGATCAACGACAAAGATGTACTTGAGGATCCAAGTAAAGCTGCAAAGATGAAAGAATTGATAAAAAGGACAACGAAGGTAGTTTCTTCATTTTGCATACATTTAGATATTGTTTCCATAAAAAAAACTAAGACGATGTTTCCTTGATGAACAGCTCACAAACACACACTTAAATGATTGTAAAAGGTTGTTTGGACTTATCGGTATTCCTGTCGTAGAGGTAATTAAGCTGTGCCTATTATGACGCTGAATGTTATATTTTAAAGAATTATTAATCCTTTTTTGGTACTAATAGGCTCCCGGTGAAGCAGAAGCCCAGTGCGTCCAGTTATGCAAAGAGAGCAAGGTTCTTTTAACCTTACCTGTTTCCTTCGCTTTCTTTAAATGTTGCCTCTTTTGAGTTAAAGAATATATTGTCTATTGTTTAGGCGCATGCTGTTGCCTCGGAAGACTCGGACTGTCTTCCGCTCGGGACGCCATTACTTCTTCGGAACTTTAAGGCTGATCAACCTGTGGAGGAATACAATACCACCAATGTATGCCCAGCTTCTAGTTTCCTTATGTGTCTATCCTCCTGCTCATTTAATTCAATGCCCTGGACACAGTCCCACAACTGCAGAAATTCCCGAATCACAATCCATGAAAGAGCTCCACGAATTACAGAGACCCACCCATTATTGGCCAAAGCTTCTGCCACTGTTTGCCTTTTACGAATTCTAGGAGGCACGCTAGCGAATACCATAGGTGCAAGGTTCTCCAGATTAGCAATTCCTAACCCCCCAAGATCAAGAGGCCGCATGACCTTCTCCCAGGCGACCAAACAGCAGCCACCATTAGCTTGCTCCTTCCCCTTCAGTACTTGTTTTAATGTCACATTTTTGTTAGTGATGTAACTAATTATGATGCAGGTGTTAAAGGGATTAAAGCTCTCTCTGGAAGAGTTTCTTGATCTTTGTATTCTATGTGGTTGTGATTATTGTGAAAAAATTGAAGGTAACCAATATGCAGATTCTCACACTTCCAAAAACATTGTAGTTTGTGAAAACTTATTTTTCCTATTTATTCCTGCTTGTCCATCAGGAGTGGAGAGCAAAGAGGCATTGCATCTCATTCGTGAACACCGTAGTATAGAAGAAATTTTGAAGAATACAGAAAGGTTCATCTATTTCGATTTAAATATCTAATGGCATTTAGATATCTATTTAAATATCTGATGTTCAATACTGCTTCGTGCATGTATTCAGCAGGTTCCAAATTCCTGATGATTGGCCTTATGCAAAAGCTCGGGAGTTATTCAGGGACCCTGATGTTACAAAAGATGTTGCTGACCTTCAGTGGACTGCACCTAAAGAAAAGGTACACTACTTGCCATTAATTGATTATTTGTCGTCATTCATCCATCATTAATGTTTCTATTTTTTCCAGGAACTCATTACGTTTTTAGTAGGTGAGCATGATTTCAGTCAAGATCGTGTGGAACTGGTATGAACATTTACTTGTTATAATTGCCAGTTCAATTACTATTTTACAAAAAAAAAATCTTGAACATGCAGTAGAGCTGCATTTATAAGAGAATAGAACCCTAGTCCTTACCCTGATAGATTTTTTTTTGTGTGTGTAGGTAGTAAAAAGGATTAATAATGCGAGATCTCTAAGATCGCAACCAACGTGAGTAATCTTCAACAGAATGTTTGTGTACATATTTTGTTTTTTTGAAGTTGATTATATTATTTGACATCATGTTACCAGAATCAAAAGCTTTTTCAAGCGAGTGTTACCTAAGAAGACACAACCGACGTGAGCACTATGATCCATCTCTAATGGAGTACTTATGCACATATAGTATTTGTTGAAGTTGACCATATTATACTAATTTTTTACCTCATGTGATCAGCGTTGAAAGATTTTTCAAGCCAACATGAGCACAAAAACGAAAGGTACTGCTAATGTTTAAACTAGCTGCTATTGAACTACTGAGAGAGCTACTGCTGCTCTCTACTTTATACGTACATAGCAAAGTCAGCTCTAGGTACAAACTAGAATTGAGTACTTCTACCAACTACAAGGTACTACTACCTAATACTATGTACATGACATTGTTTGAATTCCGTATCTGTTTCACCAGGGCCTGTTAGTTGCTTGTATATGATCTGTTCCAATTATTTCGTGCTAGTGGCTTCAAACGTAGTTCTAGTAGTTTTCTGCAACAACTTAATCTTTCTGCTCAAGCGGATTCAGTTCTAAGTAAAATGTGATAACTGAACATACCATTAGACAGGTCACTTTTATCATGGAGATTATTCAGATTCAGTAATCTACCTCTGCCCCATAACCATAGTTGGGTACATGTGGGATGGAAACTCACTGCAGACTATTGATGTTTGAAATTCAAACTTGTTTTGCAGGATGACAAGTAGCTCGTCCAATTCTGCACGGCTCTCGGTAGAACGGAAGCCTTTTGAAGTGCTTGTAAAAAAAGTTGATGCCGGCTACAAAATGCCTTTTCTAGTCAGTTGTATGTTTCCGGGAGCAATTCTGCTAGTTTGACTTGTAACGTAAGATCGGAACGACCTCTGTTTCCATTTGGTTCTTTTTTCTCGTTGTTGATACCGGCAAGACCCAGCCAGATGATGATGGTTGCAGTCGAGTATTACATTAACTGTTATGGTAGAGCAATTGACTGCAGACATGGGCTCTTCCCTTTTCTTTTTTTCCCCATATCTTGTGCAAAGTTTCTTGTTTGCTACTTTACGCTTAAAGGGCTGGTGATGATTTATGTATTTAAAAGTGATGTTAAACTTAGTTAAAGCCTGTGCGCTAGACATATCGCCGTGCTCAATTTTTCTCGGGAATCATCACCAGTCCAACATACGACTCCAAGTGAGGACGAATAATGACACGAACAGTGATTAATAAACTAATACACAAAACGGCAACAAAGCTTCAATAATCAATATGTATATCCTTGCGAGGTTAGCCAACTGAAGGCCTAGTTCTCAGCTTTGGAGTTCACCTCGATTTTCCAGTCACAAGAATCAAACCAAGCAGCAAGCAGGCATGGATTGCAAATTTCCTATTCTTTTGATTTGACCGGTCGCCTATACGACAGGCAAATATGTGCCGTAACATGGTGCCAAAAAGCCATGCTGTTCCTTTTGATTAGGTTCCAATAATATGTTGACAAAAAAAAACAGGCTCAGAATAGAATAGTGCGCAAGAAAACAAGTGCGCTTTCACTGAGCCTTCCCCTGCACATGCTCAATCCACAAATAGAAAGCATGAAACTCCATATCCATATGTCCAAGAAAACGCTCAGTGACCCAGAAGCAAAGTCTATTCAGGAATTTAGCAGAGTATGCAGAGTACACAAGCTTTGCTGTGTTTATCATCTATCTAAATTGCTCCTCAAGTTCCAAGGCCCAATGCCACCACCACAGCATCAGAGGTGGTTTCCTATTCCCACTCAACCGTCGCAGGTGGCTATGATGCGATGTCCTGGCAAACACGGTTGATGCCACGCACGTTGTTGCAGATCTTGTTGACCACATCTACTAGGAATTCATGGCCAAAATAGTACCTGCAAATTTGAAGAGATGATGACATGATATGAGAATTGAGAAGGGACTGGTTAAGGAGATGATCCTCCAAGGTACCACCAACCACTACTGCCAGGTCCACCACCAACTCAGGTTTTTTAGGTAGTGAAGATGAACTGTTTAAAACACAGCCTGCAGTTTACTGTTACTAGCAAAACTACGAGGTAGAGAAGACAGTTCTGTACAATTTGCAGAGTGCAAAGCAGAAGTTTACCAAGACTACACAAGCTAGTCATCACATGGGCCTGTTACAAACTATAAGAACACTATATCACTTGCAGTTGGCACATAAATAAGATGGCTAGAGTTTTGGGTTAACTACACTATATAACAGGAGCAACGTAAGAGTTTTGGGTTGAGCAAGAAAAGAAAAGAAAAGGGAAAAAAACCTAACCAATTATATCGTGATGTGAGCCAATTATTTGTTACTAAACTAAGAGTGATAAGAATACAAGAAATGTTGCAGACAAGCAAAGTTATCTGTACGACTGCACCAAAATATTTCACTGAAGTACAGCTGTATCTAAACTTCTAAAGTTTCCTAGAAAAAAAAGTGTAACAGAGCTGAAACTTCAGTGATACATACCAATCTGCAGTCATGCCATCCTCACTGGTGATTGCCCTTAAGACAACAGCATTGGAGTGGGTTCGCTGGTCACCCTGAACCCCAACTGTCTGTACTGGTAAGAACACAGCAAAAGCTTGCCAAATTTATCAGAGGCCAGCATCTTTAATAGCTTGAACAAATATCTCATCCACCTAAAAGAAAAAAAATGCTGATTCACAGGTTTATCAAAGGAGCTCTAGCAAAATTTCAAATTATTCTAGAAGTTTCAAACCTGACGAAGAGTGTCCAAAGCGTGTAACATCACCTAGGACACGTACAGCAAGACCAGGCCCAGGAAATGGGTGTCGCTTTAAAAATGAATCTGGGACATTCAAAATACTCCCCAACTTCCGAACCTACAATCATAAAAATTGTAATGAACAAATAATTAAATTTCTCTTTCATCATATAAATATTATAGGATGGATGAATATGGTGTTGTTTCTGTTGTATTGATCCGACCCTCATATGGGGTATATATAGAATACATTGTGAGGGAGAGAGACTTGGAGTAGAGGGCAAGTCGTACATGTTAAACCTATTCTATCTCTAACTCCTACCTATATCTTAAACACAATAATATTCTAACATTCCCCCTCAGTCGTAGCGGGAGTGAAGCGGACGATTGCGATTGAATTTGTAGTCTTGCGCTTTCGTCGTCTTCTCCACTGCGCCATCATCAACTGCGTCTCTGATGGGTCGACACCTAGGGCGGTGACTGCGTCCCCTTCTGGTGCCTTCCTTGTCTGTCCTCTCTTCCCTCCCGCAGTCACAGCGGGAGTGGCGTGGACGCTAGTGACGACGCGGACGCTGTTGACTGAAGTTGTCGCCGATGAGTTGCTGTAGACGTAGCCATGAATGTCGATGTCGAGGTAGCCGATCATTGCGATATAGCCATGGTCGAGGTAGCCATGATCGATGGTGTAGTCGTCGTGGATGATGAAGCCGCACAAAGCCGGAGGCGCAAAAAAAATGCGCTATGACGGAGCTGCAGATGTTGACGATGCACCTTGCAGATGTCAGAGGGTGTCGCCGGCGATGAGTCCATTGGTTTTGCCAAGACCGAAGGAAGCCCACCGAGCACACATCGGTTTTGCCAGAACCGTGTGGCTGTATAGGGTCATCACTGAAGTGACGCCGTGTCGATGCAGTCGTGCCGTCGTGGATGACGCGGTCGATGCCGTCGTCGTGACGCGGTCATTGCCGTCGTCGAGGTCGCGTCTTGCAGAAAAGTCTGTCAGAGGACGCTAGGTGTCCATCTTGTGGACGAGGCGGCAGTGGTGGTGTGTTGATGAAGATATTGGTGAAGACCACGTTGATGAAGACCTTGACGATGAAGTGCCTGTGATGGCGTTGCCGTGGCGTGTCGACAATGATGAGTCGCTTGAAGGCGTCCCTCGTGGCGACGAAGTGTCGATGTCGTGTCGTGTCGAAGAAGTATGTTGGCTCGTAGCCTGGCGTAGTCATACAACTTGATGTCGCTCGGCTCAATGCAGAGGCGTGGGTGTAGCCGTGCAGATCGACTGTGGCGGTCGATGCAGCCATGCAGAAGATGATGTAGCTCGGCTCCGGACGTGGCGGCCGGTGTAGATCGTACAGCTTGATGTAGATGGCAAGCCGTGCAGATCGACTGTGGCGGTCGATGCAGCCATGCAGAAGATGATGTAGCTCGGCTCCGGACATGGCGGCCGGTGTAGATCGTACAGCTTGATGTAGATGGCAAGCCGGCGCGCAGGAGGTTGATGGAGTCGGCTTGCTGAAGATCGCGTCCGTGCGCGTGTCTCGAACGGGCTCTCCCGGTGTCCGACACACCGAGACTGCTGTGGTCGTCGGCCAGATCGGATCACGATGATGGTTGTTCCCACCCGTAGATCGCAGAGGCCCACGCGTCGTTGCCTTTTGATCCTTGCAGAAGGCCCGTGGCTCAAGTTCAAGGCACCATGCCATGCGCGTACGCATGGCGGTCTTTGCGAGTTTTGCCATGCACGTATGCATGTGCGCATGGCCTTGTTCCGCGTACAAGTCGATGCGGCTGCTGGCGTTTGGCGATGGGTAACTCCGTGCTGAACTGCTGATTCGAAGGAGTTGCTGGTTGCGCCGTCGGGAGATCCGCGTACGATCTCGTACGTGATGGAAATCGCCGCGAGATCTACGCCCTCCCGCGATCGGAGGTGCGTCCCCTTCGCAGCTGCTCGCCACGATCGTCGTCCTCGCGCCGTGTAGACCGGTCGGATCAGTGTCCATGCGTCCGTACATGGCCGCGCCTGGCACCGCACGATTTCATGAAGAAGATCGTATTCCTGTAGGCTCCGGAATCTGAGGGTCGTTGGATTTATTTGGTGGCTAATGAAAAACTAATCTAATGGAATTTCTAACTATGAAGAATTCATCTAATCTAATCTACGGAACCAATCTGATCTTTGATCAATTGGGTGCCGCGCCCCCGGGGAGAGGAGATTAATCTCCCCGGGGGCGGCGCGCTACGGAAGGTGTGAAAGGTCTTAGGATCGGCGTCGTGAGACTAACCGCTCTAATACCATATAAATATTATAGGATGGATGAATATGGTGTTGTTTCTGTTGTATTGATCCGACCCTCATATGGGGTATATATAGAATACATTGTGAGGGAGAGAGACTTGGAGTAGAGGGCAAGTCATACATGTTAAACCTATTCTATCTCTAACTCCTACCTATATCTTAAACACAATAATATTCTAACACATCATATAACACCTGATCAAGTTTGAATGGAGAAATTACAAAGTTGATTAAGGATATTGATGCAGTTTGGTACCTCATCCTTGAATAGGAGCTTGAGTGGTTCAATGAGTTTTAACTTCATATCTTTTGAAGTCCACCAACATTGTGATGGCTTTTGATGGTATGGGATTGTGTCCTTCCACTCCCAGGAGGTGGGCATGATTCAATTACATCAGGGTACAATGTCCCTTGAACTAAAAACTCAGGCCTTTTCCCAATCTTCTGTTCCAGCTTGTGACCAAAATCATCAAAAACAGCTATGAATTCCCTGCCAATAATCTTTCTTTTCTTCTCTGGGTCTTCGACACCCTTCAACTTGCTGAGAAATTGCTCTGAGGCATCAACACATGTAACTGGCAGGTGCAAGTCACTTTCAAAGGTTGACATTACTCGTTCTTTCTCCTTGTACCTGCAAACACGAGGTTCTATGTTAGTTTCATTGCACGCACAGCCAAAATAAGCATAAGTTCTATTTAAAAGAACTTGAAGCAATAAGGCAGCATATTGTTACCTTAAGAGACCATTGTCAACAAAAACACAATGAAGCCTATCTCCGATTGCCTTGTGAACAAGAGTGGCAGCAACAGTTGAATCGACTCCACCTGACAAAGCACAGACAACATGCTCATCAGGGCCAACCATGGTTTGGATGGTCTTGATTTCTTCATCCAGCACATCTTGCATCTTCCAATCAGCTTTGATTCCACATACATCAAAGAGAAAGAGACGAAGTGTTTCCATTCCTTGGGGCGAATGTGTAACCTAATTAAAAAAGTTCAACGGTCATGCAAAGAGCAACCAGATGATACACAAAAAGTAACCACAATACAGTGGATACACAGTGGATAATACCAAATGATTTGTCATCTGTTTCGCTATCCATATAAGCAGAACTCAGTCCATCCATATCAACAGAACAATTCAATTGAATAACAACAACCATGTAGCTTGTTCCTAAGCACCTCTTTTCCAACTCAATTGGTACCCACTTTAGAAAGCATGGTGTTTATTTGGTTTTCTCATCAAGTATTTACAAAAGAATCCGGACAACTCACAATTCAAAATTGAAACAGAACAATCAAACGTACAGCTTCCCACAAAACGTCCAACTTTTGCCTTCTTTTCAAGAGTCAAGAACAGAGGGAACAAATTACAAACTTTGACCATATTTATAGAAAAAAATAGGTACATCTAGAATACCAAATGCACATCATTGGATACATCATGACTTATATTTTCAGAATGTACATGTTTGATATTGTAGATGTAGAAAGTTTTCTCTATACACTTGGTCAAAGTTGGCAAAGTTTGACTTTCACAGAAATCTATAGGCACTACATTGTGGAATGGAGGGAGTAACTTTTATTAAATCATAAGAGTAATCATAACGGTTGCTACCTCGGGTGATACTGGAGCCCATAAAAGCGCTTTTCCCGGTTCTCGATGGCTGCGACGGCGCCCTGGACGCTGCGTGCAACCACCTCAAACCCCTGCGGGAGCTTGACCACCTCATCGCCGTGGCTCATCCACACCGTCTGGCGCTTCCCGGTGTCCGCCTCCCCGTACAGCGCGGAGGACGGCATCTGCATACCACTCGGCCAAAAAAGTAATATACCTGTATCTGCATACATTTTTCCTTTTTTTAAAGAAAATTATCACTTTTTTCTGTGTGCATTCCCTGTGTCCGTCGTCCAAAAGCAGCCGCCATCAAATTTTTTGGTTCAAAAATAGAGGGCAAAAAATTAGTTACGGGCCCAGTTAAAAAGTACGCAACACCCAGGGTTTTTTTTTTCCGACCGGTATCCTGCTACAGTCGGCCTGCGGTAGCGGTATACTGAAGCGGTTACCTCGGCTACCGGTTAAAACCGGTCAAATTCAAAAAATCAAATTCAAAACCCAGTTCAACCGGTAGCGAGCGGTATACCGGTCGGTAAGACCAGTTTACCGACTGGTAAGATCGGTTAGCCGGTCGTTTGCGAATCAATGAAATGCATGTTTTCAAATTTGAATCAAAAAATTGAAAAATAAAAGAAAAATTCTTTAAAATATTTCAAGATGCGTAGAATCTAATGGTGTCAAAATTTTGCAAATACTAGTGTGTTTAGTATTTTTTACGGGCATTAGAAGTTTAACTGGCGAATTTTTTCTTTTTCTTTTTTGGTTGAACTTCTAATGCCCAAAAAAATACTAAATGAACTAATATTTGAAATTTTTTAACACCATTAGATTCTACGCACCTTGAAGTATTTTTAGGAATTTTCTTTCATTTTTCAATTTTTGAATCAAATTTGAAAATTTTGAACTGGAGCTGTTGGGAACCACCGGTTCCCAACGGTAAGAAAAACCCTGGCAGCACCAAGGTCATCACCGCACATCTGTTTTATGGGTGTCAAAACTTGTCGTACCAAAATTTGAGCAGGCCAAAATGGACACGCTCTACCAAAATATGGGCATGTCATACCAAATATGATTCGATTAGATGCTAATCAAATGGGTGCCAAAGTTTACAGTCTTACTTCAACTTTGGCGTGACAGGATTGGAGTTCACCTCGATTCTCCTCTCTTAAAAAAATGCAGCACATACTTCCAGTCACAAGGAATAAACCAAGCGCATGGATTGGAAATTTCCATTTCTTAAAAAAAGCATGGACAAAAAGGAGCAAGACTTCAGCAAATTATTGCCATTTACATGCATGCAGCCAGATGCTTTTTTGCACATACAGTACAGCCTCTAATCTAAACAACGCTAGCCGTGCAGCATCCACGTTATTTATTGATTTGCCTGTGATAGCATATTTGTCTACTACACTACACAGAATCTAATACAATGCAATCTAATGAATCAATAGGTATCTGCTAATTTACATGTCTCTTCTGCTGTCCAACTACTGCAACTCGGAAACACCTCTACAAGTTAAACCTCGCCACACATCATTCGTGGATCACAATCATGCACCACCCTTCTCCTTGATGTAAGCTAAACTATGAGTAATTTGTTGTTCTACGCCAAACATATTTTGACAAGAATATGGTTGTCTTTCAGGACACCAACACTGCCACTGTCTGTTATCCATCCATAGGCAAATGGCAATGCGATATCTACTTGCTTTTGTACATGCAGGTGACTGGCGCACATGGTAGCATCAGCTCAGTCGCTCAGGTATGGCATCACGCACTGGCGGATCGAACATAGCTCCCAGTTCCCTTCACCATCAATGAGCTTCAGCTCCAAGACATGGAAGGGTATCAGAGCAGGCCTCTGTAATAAACATGAAAAATGTTGCTTTCAGCAAAACTCTGCTTTCATTCCTGAGAACAAAGTATAAATTTTGGGTGATAATAGACAACAGTTCATTATCTTTTTTTCCTAAACATTAACAGTTCACCAATATAAGAAATTTTGTGTTGTCACAGGGATTATCGAAGCACTTACTTGTGAGGAAGTGATCACAGTTATGCCCATGTTAGTTGCAAGCCTGTACAGATGTTCTTCAACATCAACACTAGTAGCACTGCAATCAAGGAAAATTTTAGGAACCACGGTAATTAATTAGCAAACAGTATTTAAAAAAAATCGGAGAAGTCAAAAGAAAATCGTGACAGAAAGTGTACTTGGTGCACTCGTCGAGGATGCCATACTTAGGATGCTGGAAAAACAAACGGGCCTAGAACAAAGATGAGAGAGTTGCTTTCAATGAACTCAACAACATACAAAATGAAAAAACAAATAAAGGTGGCTTGCCAGTTAATACTGACCACCCCAAGCTTCTGTTGTCCCCCTAGTGACAGAACATCTTCCCAGTTTGGTGTAGAATCCCACCCTTCTCTTTCTAGAAGATACACCAGCCGCACATTCTCTAGAATTGTCTTCAGGTGATCATCAAGCAGGATGGAAGCACTAGCCTTGTTGCCTATATTACCACAGTTTTCCCGTTATCAGGACAAGCAACGAAATAATTTAGTACGCCCTTTTAACTGGCATCCTCCTAGCAAATCATAAAGCTATGTTCACACTTTCAAACACATGGTTTCTTGCTAATCCAATAGACACATGTACCAAAAAGTAAGTGGGCCTACCAGCTTGATGTAGTGAGAGAACTTTCATCTCTGCTTCCTCCCGTGAGCGAGGGTATATGATCTGATCCCGCAGAGTACCTAGGCTGGTATATGGACGCTGAGGGACATGGAACATCCCTTCAGAGGGCTTGATAACTCTCCCAGAGAAGATGGGCCACAAATCTCTAAGCACTCTAAATATACAACTCTTTCCACTACCATTGGGACCTTCAGGAAGGGTAAAATGAATCCTGTTAATATAAGGTCACTGTGGAGAAGAAAATAATGAAGATCGCATACCAGTCAGAAATAGGCTTTTCCCTTGTACTACATTGCATGACAGTTTACTAGCCAATAGCTTCTGTGATGGTGTTATGATGTCCACTTCATGAATTGAAATAATATCTTCTGAGGCTGCACTGATGGCATTGGAAGACACCATGGTATCTGGAGAATTTTAAAAGCATGTTCAGAATCGAAAACTTAACTAATGACAGAACATGAACACTAACTTCAACCTGGCGCAACTATCAAAGTTTTTAACTTGTTCAGGGTGGCAGCTATCAAGGGTACGTTTGGATTCGTAGCTGACCTTTGCCTAGCTCGGATATGCCCAGCTAGCCCATCCATCCAGGCAATAGCTCGCGGAGGCTAGGCACTCTTTGGATTTACTAGCACTTGCACACAGGACACCATGTCGTTTAGCAGTTGCCAAAAAATTTCTTTCATGCCGCACTTTGCTCTCGCGAGCGAGCCGATCCGGCTCGCGGGCAAGCTTTTTGCTGCGGTTATTGCCTAGCTTGCCATCAAAAGTGAGTTGTTTTCTTTTGTACCAAATGCCAGCCCTTGCCCAGCAAGGCAAGAATCATTCTTGCTTAGGATCCAAACACACCCTAAATTTTCTGCCAACTATTGGCAATTTTGCAAACACGCAACTGTTAACAAACATATAAAGCCCACCACACCATTTTCAGTACACTGCTACACAGCCTTACTATTTAACTTGGCATGATGGAATGGTAAAAGAATTGCTATAAGAATGTTGTTTCATAGATTTCACGTGCCAAACTCTTAGGAGGTGGCAAGTTCAACCATAATATGCTGAACAGGATTCGTCACAATATGTGCTGTATAAAATACCAGTACATTCTGTAGAGCCTAATTATGCAAGTTGACAGTTCAATAACAGGATCAATTACTACCCTAATATATTGTGTTTTAGTTTGTGTTATATTATGCACAATTAAAATGGGCTACATAATTCCTTACTGAAAAATCTAATTAGAGAATTTAACATGATTTTTATTGTCTGTTAGAAAGCCAACGTAATAGTGAGTGTGTGTCGTGATGAACAGGTTTTATCTAACTGGTGTAATTCTGTTCGTGTTCTACACCCTTTCTTCTTAATATATTGATACACAGTTCTCCTGCATGGAATAAAAAAGGTCTGAACTTACTCCTTTGAGCGGCACATGTAAGCTCCTCAAGCTCAAAGATACGGTTAATCCCACCAGAGAGTTCAAGGAATTTCTTATGTAACTCAAGAATGTCGCCAAAGGCTATGAAGCTCTGTGAAACCACTGAAGCCAAGAATCGTAGAGCATGTGCCAGCTCTCCTGTTACACAAACCAAAGGAACAATGTATTTCGGGATGTTAAAGATGAAAAATTAATGTAGAATGGAAGAGTTGTGAAGATTAGTAACCTTGAGTTGAGGTCAAAGCTCTGTCTCCCTTGTACTCCAAAGCATATAATAGACTAAGACCCCATGTCACATTGTGAGGAAGTTGCTTTGTAACAAAATCATCAACAATACCATAAAGCCACTGTTTCCTCAAGAGAATCTTTGAGTGGTTAAGTAACTTTACGAATTTAGCCTCAACCATCTGATATATGAAAAGAATTATATGCTGAAAGTCAGGTTCATGTCATCTAACACAGCAAGGGTAGCAGAAGAGCTAGTTGGGGGTGGGGACCTTTGTCAGTTAGAGTTCATAAATATAACATGTCTGTTGGAACTGCAAATACAATTGAAAGAGAACCACACACGAACAGTTTCTAAAGTCTAAGCACTTAATGGTCTCTACAAATGCCATATAGAAGTATCAGAAAATGGAACTACTGGGTGTCCACATTATATTATCCTAGTTCTTCAATATTCCATCTCATGTACATGGCGTCATGGCTACACGCAATGTGTATAAATAAGCCACACTGTCTGGGATAATGATAACATTTTTATCTCATAATCTCTAAATATAACACATTGAAAAAAATTGAAATCAGGCTGCTACAAGCTACTCTTAAGAATAAAACAAGCAAACATTAACTTCGCTAGGAAGGTGACAACAAGGTACGGAAAGCAAACTATCTCAGGCAAAACTAAATATAGAGTGATAAACACAATAAAGCAGTAAGGAAGCAATATCTGGTTTCATAAAGCTACAAAGTGAGAATGTAGTTACAAGTTCAGCAGAGTGGCTGAGTCAAAAATATGCTTTTTAAGTAAAAAAAAAAGAAGCCAGCTATCATTCAACAATCCACTATTTACCTATCATTGCACTTCACATTTGAGGCTAAAATAATCAAACAAGCATTTAATTAACTGATGTATTAAACACATGTCATTTTTATGAACTTGAGTATTGTCTGTGTAATGCGATGGAACTCACAGCTTTCTCTCTTGAACCACCACCAATAAAAGCAATTGATTCAGCATGTGTCCGCAGTCTTGAGTGCATGAACCTTGCAAAAGCTCATCAGATTAGCACTTCAATTTTTTTAAATGGCATGTTGGCTCTACCAAGACGCAACAACATATGCAGTATTTACCTGAATGTTCCTTCAAGTTCTTGTTCTTGGCCCGAGAGACGACCAAAGTCAGGGGATACTGCTCTCAGGAAGCCCAAACCCAGTAACATGTAAGCATATAGTATAGCAACTCCTCTTCGTCCTGACAAGAGCTTCATTCTCCATGTAAACCTGGTGAGTTTGGCTAGAATTATCACAATGAATTCTAGGGTAACTTTAAACCAAGTTCATAATTAGCAATAGATGCAAGGATAACTCACCAAATAATGTCAACCACTGGTTTTACCATTCCAGTAACTAGGCCAGCAAGATCAGTGGTCAACTTGTCTACATCAAGTGTTAATCTTTGGTCTGCATCAATAGTTTTACCTGACATGTTGAATACCTGAAAACATATACAAGGATAACTTGTTACTTTTCCTGTCCATCTCAACCCTAAAACAATTGTCATGCCACCACTAGACAGCATGATGGCTAGGCCATCTCCAGTCTCAGAACTCAGGATCTCCGTCTTCACAAAAAACTAGGAACAAATAAATGCATTGGAGTATAGAAAAGGGCATGGAGGCTACGTTACAGGTCAAACATATTCCCTTATTGTTTTTTATCCCTCTCCAAAATCCAAATTTCCAGCTTGGACAATACACACAAAGTTGATGCCCACTGGAGTGCCGGAGGTACCAGACTCCAGCATCTTGTTCCATCATGCAGACTGGAGCATCCAAATTAGAACCTCTAAAGTAATTGAATTTTCGAGAAGGCACAACTTCTAACTTGGGAGTATTTCTGCCTTATGATTTAACTAAAAAGAACATTTTGACTAGCTCAAATGTGTATAGGGTACGTTTTAGGCAACGGCTCAAGTATTTTACCTTTGCCATTCAAAGCCCATAATTAAAATTTCAAACAGCGAGCTCTGTGAGGCACACCCATACAATTACATAAGCAAGTGCCCAACAAAGCAACAACCCCAGCAATTCATACTGAACAAAATAGTCTCCAACTCTCCACTAGTACAGACTGTCACATAAATGATGCATTCAAATGAATATCAGAACAGCTATAACACCACCTACAAAGTCCTGTCATACCATAACTAGACTATTGAGAAGCGATAATGTGCAACAGGTAACCAGTAAAGGAAACTAAAGCAATAATGTGTTTATGTGTTTTTGCTTGAGAAGATACCTTGTAGAATGCATTTCTTTTCAAATAATATCGAAGCAAATGATTGGTCAAGCGAATTCGCCATCCAAGGGCAAGTTTAGAGGTAAGGGTCCTGTACAGATACATGTAAAAGTTTCAATCCTACGTTAAATACTCCCACTATAGAAACCTTGTAGCATGCAATTCACTGATGAAACACTGTATGTTCTTCATTAAATTTTCTTAGCGAGATGTGCATGCAATTAAAACCAATCCCTGATACATATCAATTGTCAAATAATGCAACTTCCTAATGTTAAGATAAGACAATGCATCAAACAACTAGCAATATGCTGTCCTCATATATTGCTATGCAAGCTGCTGCTATCTTGCTGCATGGCTTCCATGCAGGCTATGTCTCTTTGATGCTTGTAGCCACATCTATAGCTGTTGCCCTATGTGCACTAAAGCTGCAGCAACAGACCCTATGGCATCCATGTGTAACAATTAACTAGTAATAAATCTTTGAAATGGAGTTAACCAATGATTACCTAAGAGTTGGTGCCACAAAAGAATTTGCAGCACTTTGTAGAATACTGACACCAATCAAGCGAATGAAGGCAACTTTATCCTGCTCTAAGACAAACTTCACAGTTGTCCCTGGCAAGATGAGACATATCATATGAGAAATTTACTTGCAGCTTTTAACTATGAAAGATATCCAAGGGTGAAAAGGAAGAACCATTCAATGAAGCAATACGATCAGAGATCCATGTACGAGAGAAAACAAGTACAGCAACAGCAAGCAACTGCCCGCCTTGTTTATCAAGAAGTTTAGGAACCTGGGGAGCAAAGGAGAGTAGCATAAGAATTTCAGGGTGTATCAACATCGAGAATAAAGTTCCTAGAACTAGTTTAAGGGGCTTCATCCGATCTATGTGTGTAGAATCTCCTCTTTTTTTTACTAGTTCCTTAGTTTGTAGAGCATTAGTATACTCGAAAGGTTATTAGTAATTATATCACATTAGATGTTTTTGTTCAAACAAAGGAGTAACCAACAAGCAAAGATTTCTAAATTCTAAAGTAGTGGCTGAGTGAATTATTGGGGAACAGAAAGGCACCAAGGAGAACATCATACTAGTATGTTGAGCATTGCAGCTACTCTGAGAGGCAAAGGTCTTGGGTGGCATCGCAAATGTGGAACCCGAGATGTCCGTACTGCATGTTCTATTTCCACCTTAGGGGAAGTTGCTATGACCTCTGTAGAGTACGAATGGTCCTTGGACCCCAACGAAGGATTGTTCTGGTGAGGAAACCCATTAAACAGAAGCATGAGTTAAGTTGTGCCTGTTAATGATGATGGAACAGAAATCCAGTAGACCAAAAATCATATACCTTTGCCCTTCTCATAAAAGCTCTTTGAACAGTCAGTGCATCAGATTTGCGATCAGTTTCTAATGATTGAAAATCAGACTCTTCAGTGGAAAAGGAAGAGTCCTCCCTGCAAAAATAGTATATTACTAATTTTTTAGTGAATTAATTCAGAGAACATACATTTAACAACTTATTTAAAGGGTTTCAACCTTCTGTGCTGAACATTCCAGTCGCCTTCACCGTCCAAGGACAAAACAATATCATGAAATGCAACTAAAGCTGGGCGATGAGATATTGTTATACAAGATGTACCCATAGCTCGAACCTTCTTGCAAAAACGTTCTTCCATATCAGTCGTTACAGCACTAGTGCACTCATCAAGTATGGCAAACTTTGGCTTATGGTAGAATAACCTGGCCATTCCTAGTCTTTGTTGCTCACCAAGGGACAGCTCATCACCCCAGTTAACTTCCTTATCAAGAGGATAGAGTTCTAGCAAGTATTCCAGGTCAACCTGTGAAACGGGCATGGTTAGAAATCCAGCAGGTTCATGTGCTAAGTTGCACCTCAAGCCTAAACACATGTGCTAAGTTGTGGAGCTTATGATGTGATTCTCTATTTAATTTCAGAAGGTCACCTAACACAAAATGCAACAGGTCAAATCAAATAGAGAATCACATCATAAGCTCCACAAATTGAAATTAAATAATATCTAAATCACAAGTTAACAGCAGGATGTAACAATTTCCAGTTATGCTTCGTCCAAGCACTACACAAAATGAAATAATGTCTTTGGCTTGGAAAAATGTTAAACCACTAAACAACAAAAAGCAAAAGTGAGATTCTTCCCTCTTCACAAAATGTGGATCATAGCACTAAAATAGTTTCATGAAAAAAGAAGTTATTTTCAGTGTGAAAGTCAGAAATGGAACAGGAAGTATCACTATTGTCAAATTACAACGGCATAAAAAAAGTAGATTTAATTAGATAGATGCACCACTGTTCAGTAACTTTTGGAGCAAAGGGTCACCTTCCATGATTCGGACCTATGGTGTAATGACGTAATGTTAACAATTTGTAAAATAGATGGAAAACTGTACCTCAGGATATTTAAACGTCTTGAACTGATAGAAAGAATCCCAAGGGACTGAAACAACGATATGATTACACTTGTGTGATATCGAAGATTGCTTAACATTTCAGCCCTTCCAAGGGTTGATGAATCAGGTCTAAGGTTGCCAGAGAAGAATGGTTCAATGATAAGGACAACTGCCACAGTGGCACCAAAATACTTCAGAAAGAAATCTTGAATCATGCCGAACCACCAGTTTTCATGACGCACAAGATTCAGATGCCCAACAAGAGCCTCAAACCTCTGCATAATATGAGATGCTTCTCTGTTCTCACCACCATAAAATGCCACACTCTCCGCATGTGTTCTTAATCGTGAATGTAGTTGATGATAGTCTCCTTCCAGTTGTTGTTCCGTGGATTTCAGTTTTCCAAAAGCAGGAGAAAATTTCCTTATCACCCCACCAGCAACTAGTACATATGCCTGAAAGCATTTAAATATAATAAAATTACCAAGTGATGAGTGCAGGAAGAAAGTGGCTGTCAATACAAAATACTAATAACTTTCATAGAGGTTATTATAGGCTATCACATCTTATATAAGTAAATAAAGCATCGCTACCAAGATTTTCTATCAAGAATTTACCATAATCCAGACCACGTATTTTGGACTAGCATACGAACAGAGACGCCAGGTGTATATTAGCCCTTCTGCAACCGCAGCCAGATCATCCTGTACAAGCTCACTTAGTTCAGAAGAGAACTTTGGGATATCACTAGCAATCCTTTGCTCTGGATTTGATACTCGATGATCCACATGTGACATTTTGTAATAAACCATATTCTGGAGATAGAGCAAACAAGAGTGTGAAATGTCTTGTCAAAATTGTATTTCAAAGGAGAAGTGTTAAATAAATTAATGAAAAACATAGCTGCTAGCATGTGTACTAAAATTGCACGCATGACTAAAAGCAACTGCATTCTCCTAATAAGGCATGAAGGAAAACAGGGGAAAATAGCTTCTAAAACCAAAATCAATTATAATCTTCACAACCTAACTGAAAAAAGTAATTAATGCTAGCATAAATTAAAAACTGGCAGGCAAATTCAACTAGCATAAAGAAAATGGGAGCACTAGAAAGGGTAAGATTAAAAAATTACTGGTAACAGCACTAGAAAAAAATGGTAAGCATATTTTTCATGCACCAACCGAATACTATAATTGACTATCATAGAAACGATATTCATCTTTAGATTGTAGGAGAATAGCACGTGATGAAACATAGTTCCCCTTTTATGGAATTTTTTTTTCTATGACATGACAGCTATGCGTTCTTTGCTGCACTGATCACTAGTTTTATAAATGGTCCCATAATCTATGACATAATACTGACAAGAACAAATTAGTATGTTGATAGATTAAGAACTTAGAAAATACTCCTTATTGGCATTCAAATTCTATAATACTCTTCATGGTATTCTGAGGAAATAATGCAATGATGCAGGTGAGAAATGTGTGCACTTGGAAGTAACACAAAATGGAACCAATGAAGAAACAAATTGCAGTAAAAGTACCTCAAAGTAATCAGCATGAACGATATCGGTTAAAATTTTCTTGAAACGCAAACTCAAAGACCCTGTCAAGTATTTTGATGTTTGATATAATGTGGATTGGAGGAAACAAAATATAAGGTTTTCTATGATCAAGCGTGTAAATGTTGGGACACGCCGAAGAAACGCTGCTTTAAACAAAAAGCCTTGAACTTTTGCCAATCTATGCCCCACAGCAGTACGCAGCACCTGCAAAAAAGAATGTGGTGCTGTAGATCATTAGTAAAGCTTCCAATACTGTCCAAAACTCCCAAAGGTAGACATTTGAAAAAACAGAAACTTGTAGCAATAGTTAAAAAAAGTTTCTAGCGATGGTAGTACATATTATTAAATAGTCAGGATAAAATGTTTTTAGACATTCAAAATTTTACCATCAAAACATATGGAAAATGCATTGAACATAGATTGTTTCTTTTCTATTTCTCAGGAAAAAATATTTTTGCTAACTTTCTTCATTGACATGGGATTGTTAGGTTGCTTTCCTTGTTAAGAAACTAGGATGAGTAATACAGATTTATTCACAAATGATTCCTTTATATGCTAGCAGCAGTAGGCCAGTTGCGACATTGGAATCACTTGTGAGTTGTGACAGGCCACAAGTTCCAAAAGTAGAATGCAATCATAGAAAATGGTGGAACTTACCGCTGTTAATACCAAGCCTAGAAGGAAGCGTGTGCCATTGGGACCAATCTTCTTCAGCAGGATAGCAGTTAGGAAATGCAAAGATTTAAGCCCACTCATTTTACGCTTTGTTGCAGCCAATCTACCATTTTGACTCAACCCATCCCCTTTGGTGGCCAATTCACTGGCTTCGCTGCCATAATTTGCCTCCGAACGCCTCCTCCGCTAGCTCTAGCTTGACCGGGCATAGGCCAAAGGGAAACGTTTCCTGTCGGTGCGCCGGCCGAATCGTTCCGCCGGCTGCACGCGCGTCGTTGATTAAAGCCAGATCGTACGACCTTCGATTCGGCCGTGACACAGCCCGTGAGCCAACCAACTCTAGTCATCACGTGGCTCACTTTCCACCACATACAATTCATCCTTATCTCTTCACAAGGAGGGGAACCGGGACCCTTCTTCCTCCTCTGTCTCTTTGCTGCTTCATTCTTTTCATCTTGGCCATAGAAAAAGCTCGCGCGCGTGCTGACTCCTTGGCACCGTCAAGCCGTCCACCACCACCACGCACAACCTTCTTCAATCCTCGCGGCCATGAGCTTCGACCCCCTCCCCCTTCCCCACCCAGTGAATGGCGATGTTACATACACGCCGCTTTTTTGCTGGAACCAGCTACACAGAGAGCTACAACCAGCACCGCGGGGGAGCTGGAACCAGCCGTTCCAGAGCAGCGACGGCACATGCCGTTTGCTGGAACCGGCATTTCGGGGAGCTGCAACCAGCTTTGCGGATAGCTGCAACCTGCAAGACTGCTAGCACCGGTGTGGCCGCCATTTTTTGGGAGTGATTGTTTTTGCTACAACTAGTCCAAATTTTGTTACCACCATCTTCGATTTATGCTATCACCGTCTTTGATTTTTGCTACCACCCTATTTTTTCTATTTTTTTGCTGGATGTATCTGGAACCACTTCAATTTATTTTGTTACCACTGCCTTTGATTTGTGCTACCACCGTCTTCATTTTTTGCTACCACCGTATTTGATTTTTTGCCAGATCCATCTTTTTTCATGGAACCACTCCAAATTTGCTACTGCCATCTTTTTGTTTTGCTACCACTGTATTTGATTTTTGCTACCATCCCCTTCTGATTTTTTACTGGAACCAGAGAATTTATTTTGTTATAACCAGCAAATTTCTGTTGCTACCACATCGTGTGCAAACGCTACAACGATTAATTCCAGCGGAAAAGCTGCAAACTGGAGGCCAATTTTTTGCTGGACCCTACAAATTGCTGCATTGGGGGTGGCCCAGTGAGCACCGGTGCTACAACCGGCAAGCGGCTCCGGCGTGCGCTCCGACGAGCAACTCCGACGTGCACTCCATCGAGCGGATCCGGCGAGCATGAGGACGAGCGGCTCTGGTGAGCTGCTAGCGAGGGCGGTCAGAGGTCATGGAGTTGTACATGAGCGAGGGTTTTTTTTTCTTTTTTTTATCCGGATCTGACGGTTACATATGGCTGTATCCAACGCTGGGGCGTTGACCGGCCGAAAATTTCGGCCGGCGCGCCGGCGCCTAGTAGTCGCCTAGGCCAAAGCTCCACCAGCAATCAGCGCGCCAGAAACAACAGCGAGAGTCCTCCTGGTTCCACACGAGAGACAGTGAGGAGGCAAACACTGCATTCCACGACGCAATTGGAAAGAATAGCAAGAAAAAAAAATAAGGGAGCAAACCTCTTGGAAGCCAGAAGCACCTGTCCGCGGTCCGTCAACTGCAGCAGCTGCAGAGACGGCATGTCGCCGCCGCGAGATGACCACCCCGAGATCTCACGTACGGCAACAGCGCGGAATCAGGGCGTCCCCCCCTCGACACGGAGCATCGCTGCAACCGAATTAGACACAAGAAAAATGAGTAAATTGCTCAAAACCACCACATTTGTGGCTAGGGTACTTCAAAACCACCATTTTTGTCAAAAATCACAAAAAACCACCACTTCTGCGCCTAGTGAATAACAAATCGCACTGAATCAGATGTTAGTCGTGACTAACAACAAAACTGAAGAGCGGGACCCGTTCGTCAGGCTGATGTGGATAAAACTAGTCCTAGTCAATGTGTTGACCCGCTGAGGTGGACACAGGGCCCAACCTGTCAGCCACATGTCTTATTTCCCCATTCTCTTCTTCATCCTCAGGCCACCACGCCACCATGTCGACCGCTACCACCGTGCCATGCACCTGCCCGCAACCATCTTCGCTAGCCTCGCCGGCTCCGACCGCCTCACTTGACAC